TGAGCTTCATCCCCAATCTGTTTTGTTTTTGTTTATTTGTTTTAAAGACAGGATCTCACTAAGTCACTGTGCTGCCCAGCTAGGTACAACTTGTGATCCTCCTCACACTTGGAGTTTCAGAGTGCTTTTTTGTTGTTGTTGTTTTCTTTTGGTACCAGAGATTGAACTCGGGACCTTCCACTCGCCAGGCAGGTGCTTATGCCACAGAGCTATCCCCGCCCTTCAGAGTGTTTTTAAACTAAAAATTTCTAAGCTTTACAAATTCTAAAAGGTTAGACTTCTATGTGCATATTTTTTAAAAAAAATTACCTATTTTCCTAAATTTTCATCTTCTTATTATTTAATATTCAAAATTCTATCAGAATATAGAGCATTCCTTGTCTTCCCCTAGAGGTAATAATGTCGAGACCATAGTTTATGAATTGCATTATCTGTGAGGTTCATGACCGGTTCCTTCCTAGGATCTGGAAGACAGGTTGTGGGCCTGCTTTGCCAGGGTTCATTTCCTTTATCTTGTCTAAGTTGAAAACCTAACACACATAGTGGGTTTACACACATACACACACTTATCATTAAACTGACTCAGGCTTGACTTCCAGTCCATCAGACAAAATAAATACTGTAAAATAAAATTGGTGTTATTTTCTTAGGGGAAACATCAAAGACACACCCATCCTGTCATAGTTGGTCCACTTCTACCTTCTGTAACTAAATTCCTAAGTAAATTGCAATAATGTCACAGAAATTATGACATTAAATAAAAATCATTTTATTGTGCTTTCACGATGTTGGAAAAAGTTACATAAGCATCCTCCCATCAGGCTGTTGGAGGAAATCCTTTTCAGGACACAATCTCTATAATTTATAGTATTTCTCACTCACATGCTGGGCTTGTAGTATTTCTGGATAGAACTAAAAGAGTAATCTTCTGGATTTAACTTTATTGCAACACATTTATATGCATCTTGGTTACTTTTCTCTCATTGCTGGGACAACATACCCATTGTCCAGAATTAAGGAAGAAAAGTTTTACGTAGCTCACAGTTTGTGGAGGTTTCAGTCCATACTCGACTGGTTCCAGGGGAGAGCAGCACATAGCAGAGGGAAGCCATTCACAGTGGTGGAAGACAGCCAAAGCAGCAGGAGCAAAGAGGGAGAAGCAACAAGCAAGCCTCTTTCCCTCCCTTATGTTGTATGTAGGTGACCAACCCCGGGGCGGTGTAGGACTCATACCCGTAATCCCAGGATTGGACCACAAATCAATCAAAAATTCTAGAAGCCTGCCCCACGACTGCATGAGGCTTTGGGGGAGGGGACATCCAGAAACAAACCATAACAATATGCTCAACTTGGCTTTTAAAGGAAATAATTTTCAATTATGGCCTAATATGAAATAAAGTAGAAAACTAGAACAAAGCAGAATTGAACAAATAAAGGGATTTAGACTCAGATCACAGTTGACACAGCCACCCTCAAATAATTGTCTCTCTTCTGCTCTGACCTCCTCACCCCGAAACTGGTAACTTAGGGTATAATTGGATATCTAGGGGCAGAGCTTAGATTGCTGGGAATCATCTAAAATTAATACCCACTCTCAATGATTAAAATGCAATCTGAAACCGACAAGGGACAATGAGACAATGTCTTATGCACTGGAAGCTCCATCAGAGCTATTTTATTTATTTTAAAAAGAACTTTTTAAAAAATCTCTTTCACTATTTCCCAAGTGATTATTAACTACAGCAGCCACATCTTTCAAAGCAATCACACCCATCCTGTCATAGTTGGTCCACTTCTACCTTCTGTAACATAATTCCACCAAAGAATCATGCACCAGAAATGTGAGTAGTAAGAGTTTCAATTAACTAATAGGCTGCACTTAAATATTAACTTGGTGCTCACTAATGATCTCAGCAATTACATAAATGAAATATTTTGCCCACACTGAATTCTTCTGACAAAGTGAATGAATGTATCTGTAGTATTCATTGATTCAAATAGTTGCATCTCAAAGCAGCTGTGACCCCAGAGCTCTATTCCTGTCTTGTACTATTTGATAAGATCCAAATTGGGCCCAAAGAGAATTAATGGTTTAGAGTACACTTTGTTTTCTTCTCAGAGAGTCACTACTTTTCTCTTTGGTAATACAGAAATATTTGGAATCTATGAGTTACTTTATAGGCGTGATCTAAAACCATAAATGCAGAGAGCCATATGCAGAATTCTTATTGCTCACAACCCAGAAGATAGTATTCGGGTTGAACTACAGGTGTGTGGCACACCCTGGAATTATGCATTCTGGCGAGCCTGGCTATGCCGCTGCAATCTGTAATGTTTCACTGGATGTGAGCTAGAAATTAGCAAAGACTTTGTCTTAAACTGTAAAACTCGTAATGGTCATAACTCTATCTGGACTTTGTTTTCAACAGGTTCCAGTAGATGAGGATTGAATGAAGTGAATATCAAAGCCAGGAGTATGTCATTACTGATATTGCAGGACTTACAGTTGCCAATATCAGCAGAAAGACTTACTAGCAATCTTTGGATTAAGTAAGCCTTTCTCTTGGGTGTATCTTCTGTTTCCTGTGTTGTAGCTTTGTCTCTGGGACTGTCTAATCTCATCAATGCAGCAAGTTTACAGAAAAAAAAAAAAAAAGAACTGTAATAGTAAAGATGTAGATCAAAGATTCAAGTAATTGTTTAGCTATTACCCAGTGATATTTTGTATCTTCATGTTTTTACTGTAGTATTTGAAATGTCATACATTTACCTCAAACAATGATTAAGCCTTCAAAGTAGATAGTTTTTCGAATACAGAATCATGGTTGCAGCACAAAATAAAATCTGTAATGTGAATGCGGCATCTTACGGCATAATCATCTATTCAAAATGCCTCCTAATAGAACATTTGATTCTCAACAGAAAAATACTGTTTTCTTTCTAGGGGAGCATCATTTCAAGGTATCACGATATAGCAGCTTTTCCTCCTGTTTTCCTTAAGTCTTTGTGTTCTAGAAAGCTGTTAGGGAGCTATGCCCAGGGGACACTATATAGTTCACAGGATACGATACCCACATGCATGCTATTTCCTGAGCTTGAAATACTCCCCCTCTACACAGCCATTGCGGACTCTCACCCCAGTAACCAGGTGAAGCTCTGAGGCCCCTTTTTCCTGAACCTCCCATGATCTCTTCCGATCTGAAGAGATTTTCCTGTCATAGAATTCCCTTCATTCCTTGGTGTTCTCTGCTTAGCACTCTCCACCTTCTACTTTGGATTACTGTTATGTGCATACCTTTCTTCTCTTGCCAGGACCATTCTTGTGAGTAGAAGGTCTTTCTCTTTAATTATTCTTGATATCTAACACCTGGCCGGTGCCAAATAATTATTTGTACAGTAAATAATCAGGTTTATCTTTGTTAGGTCAGCCTATGTTGACATATGTTTTATATAACATTTTAGTGTATAAGATTTTGAACTAATAGTACTTATCACACAGGCATCTCAGGAGCTTTCATGATATACCTTCTTTAATTGAGGGAATAGTTTTAATTATTTCTTAAAATGTAAAATAATTGGTTTTGTTGGTCCAGAGTCAGGTACCTTCTCCAGGGTGATTGCCTTTGTCCAATCACTTTATGAATTTGGGTTCAGAATCATCTTTCCATACAAAATGAACACATTTGAAAGTCCTGATTGAAGATGCTGGTGATCTCTTTGGAGTAAAAATTAGAAATTAAGTAAGCACTGGAAAGCAGAGTCCAGTGAGTCTTAGAACTTACATTTTTATTTTTCAAGTAATACCTTACCTCATTCTTTATCTTTGTATTTGAACCAGCAGGCAACAGAAATATAGAAGATGTGGGAAGAGAAAGGATTTTAGCAACAAAGGTAATTAATAGAAAAGAAAATTCTGGGATGCTTCATGTAAGCTAGGCAAGCAGCATACCACTGCGATGCATCCCAGCCTTTTAATTTTTTCTTTTTTTTAATTTGGAGATACTGCCTCACTAAGTTATCCAGGGGGCTTACTAACTCTCAATCCTCCTGCCTCGGCCTCTCTAGTAGCTCGGGATTATAGGCATGCGCCATCCTCCCTAGCCCATGCATTCTTCTGCAGCATTCAGGCCAGTGGTTCTGGCAATTCTCTATAGGAATATTTTTTCTTCTCTTTTTGGAGGTGCTGGTGGGGCCTCCCATGTGCAAAGCACACGTTTTCACACTGAGCTACATCCCTAACCCTAACCCTCACAGTTCTTCCCAGATGTGTCTTCAGTCACTTTCAGAACATGGTAGTGCTTTAAGGGAGATGCAGAAGGCAGCTGGCTGCTGCTAGACAACCATGTGTCTGGTTAGTCAGTGGGGGATAAAGCTGGTGGGCATGGCCAACCAAAGCGATACAAGAATGATTGTTGATTAAGCCTAACTCTGTTCGTGGGTTTTCTGGCTCTTCTCCATGCTTCTTTCACTCCTCAATTAAGATTTCCAGATAATGAAGTCAGGTTGACCTCATAGCTATTTATCAGTGTCTCAGTGTCACTTGCCCAGGAGGGAGAAGCTGTTGACACTGCCTCAGATATAGTACGGAGGATAGCAGAGAGCCATCTCTGGGAATATCACAGGAAACTAGAAAGATCTCAAATGCGAGTGAGTGGGACCTGTCGCTCTATCTCTGTTCCACTGTCTTCCACTCTTCTTTCCCCCAGTGACAGTCAGTGGAAGCTAAGCACCCTGTGCCCTTCTCTCTACCAGCAGAACTCAAAGAGAAAACCGATCACAGCCACTGAGAGTTCTTTCCGCCGTCTTGGCATCCGGTGAAGTGTTCACTCAGTTGGAACTTTATCTCAAGCGCTAACTGATGCTGTTAACTTTCGGCAGGGATGCCAGGAAATAGTAAGAGGAAATCACACTCTCTCTTGTACTAGAGAACTACACTGCGTTAGCCAAAAGAACACTAAAGTAACACTGCACCGTTGAATGTACTGGAAGAGATGAGGCTTTGAGAGATGTCCTGGTATCCTATAAAAATTGTTATGTATCTAAAAAGTGGCACTTTCTTAGCTACTCACCAGCTCAGACAGAATGTATTATGCTAATATAATTTTCAAAACTCAAGTAGATATTTTATACTTGTAGAGATTTCTATAGTTTTAAGTTACAAGATATCCCCTCTAATAAAATTACAAGGTTCATTTACTATGGATATTTGTATATATAATGTGTGCACATAAAATTAAACAAGGATATGCATGTGAGCATTTCATATCTATTAAATGCTTCTCTGTCTACCTGTGTGATTTTTATTGTTGTTATTGTTTGGGGGTTTTGGTTTTGTGTTGTTTTGTTGTGACAAGTTCTCACTACATTGTTCTGTCCAGCCTTTAACTCACTCTGTAGCCCAGGCTGGCCTTGAACTCACAGTGTTTCTCTGGCCTCAGTCGGCAGTGTGCTGGGATTGTGTGACTTTTGTGTATAACTTTTGAGGCCCAATTTCTCATTAGGCTAATAACAATAGCCATTTCATAGGATATTATTGCAATTAAATGAATGCCCAAACAGTGCTCACTAATATTCATTCTATGGCTAATTGGGTTTTGTAGCCTCTTGGTAGAATAACGGCTCCATTTAAGCAATGGGCACCAGGATTAATAATAACCAAGAAGTCAATAATAGTATCATACTTAGGAATTCTCATTATATTTATACTCTCTACTCATGCTTTTACTGAAAGAATCACATATTCTCCCTGTTGCCTTACTTTTTTCTCCCGTATTCAACCAAAGCATACATTATAAGTATCCATTGTAGAAATCTTCCCAATTTGAAATTTACATCGGCACACAGGCGCTTGAGGATTTCATTTCAATGTATCTTGCTCCACAGCAGCCTATCAGCTTCATTGGCCAAAAAAAAAAGCACTGATATAAAATGAAGATAAAAATTATCATTACTTTAGAAAGTAATGATAATTTCACTTACATAACTTAGGCAAATACCACATATGTTTTATCTTGTTTTGTTGTTAATCCAGTACATGCTTATAAGTTTTATTTTTTCTGTCTATTCAAGGTGAAATTCAAGTGCACTTGCTTAGATTCTTGTTGCTATTATATACATTAATACCAGGCACCTAAAAATTAAAACCTTGGTTAGGCAGAGGGGGGATTTTCCAAGTGTGGGGAAATTGACATTTTCTAAGTTTGCTATAATTTCTTTTGTCTTTTGTCTTGTTCTTTTTCTCCTTTTGGTCTAGTGTTGATATCACAGCTCTACGTATGTTAAATAAGTTTACTGCTAACTGCTTTGACTCCAGTATCATGTCTGACATAGGACCCCTACTTCCTTTGGGCACATGTTAAGTAATTCTTGGAACTGGAATCTTCAAAATGATGCATGAAATACATGTAGATATCTCTAAAATGCAGCGTCATTTCTACTTAGCATGTTCTCTTGTCATACCAGTTGGTCTCAGAGCAGACCTCAGAGAAAATGAGATGCAAGGCAGAAAGGGTTTTCGCCAAAAGAAAACATTTCCAGAAGGTCATCTCTCCATGGCCTGCATGCTTGGGCAGGTCACTCAAGGCAGCTGCTGCCGGACAAATGTCTGGAAACTACCCTTAATAGGCAGGGGAGGGCAGGCACTGATGACAAAGTGCACCTTTACCACCATCTTGCCGTAATTCTGTTGTCCAATCATGTAACGTCTGGTGTTGTACGGAAGGGTCCAGTATGCTAAAACTGCTCAGATGCTGCTCTACACTGCAGTGGATGCCAAACGACCTAGTCAAGTGCTGAGTTGTAAACGTCTGTGGTGCCTATGACTGAATGTATTTCTTCCTGCATGATCATCCATTGTGATGTTTTTTTATGTAGCCAAAAAATGAGCCTGATTTGTTCTCCTTTGTAGAGCCAGGCCGAGGCCCACTACAAAGGAAGTAAACATGCCAAGAAGGTCAAAGCACTAGAGGCAACGAAAAGTAAACCCAAAATGGTTCCCTCCAAGGACAGCGCAAAGGCTAACCCCAGCTGCTCCACCACTCCAATCACAGGCAACAGCTCTGACAAATCAGGTCAATGACACTTTTTGTTCTTTACGTTCTTTGTTTCCTCCCTGTTCCCCTCCCAAGCCCTGTTCTCCTGACCTCAATCCCTGCATGTTACCCTCCATGGTTTGTTTTTGTAATATTAATACGTTTCCTGCATGAGAAGGGTTCTACGTTTGCACAGAATCTAAGCATTTGATATGTTGCCATTCCATGTTGTGAAATATACACATTAAAGTCGATATGTGTATAAATATGTATATATAAGTATATATGCATGAAAATAAATGGTGGCTATTTGGTCACAATGTGTTTAAACAAAAATTGGGAAAAAGACCTGAAATGCTAAGTTACTATTCTTTCCTGCACTTTCTCTGTTTAGTGTGTACTGCAGACTTCTTCGTTGAAGGAATTCTTAAAGTTGTTCATAATAGATGTTCTTATATGCTCTTTCCCTAGCAAAGGAAGGTTGAGGGGCAAAAGAACGAAGTTTTCTGTGCAAGTAATATTAATAAATGTATAAAATAATTAAAAGATTTGATTTTTTAAAAAAATCTTTATAGGGCTTCTCTCAAAGTTACAAATGAACTCAAAGATTTTAAGGGAACTATTTATAAAGTAGGCACTTATTATATAGAATTATGAATTGATTAACAGAGCTTTATATGTAAACAGAAATGAGCTACTAACAGAGTGACCTTCTGGTTTGTTTTTTTTTTTTTTTCTTTTTTGAGGTAGTGGGCATTCACACTAACCTATGTTATCGGTCACTCTTCACTTTTTATTGTGAGACGTGCTCTCACTGAGCTGCTCAGGTTATAATGAGAGTGTTGGGATTACAGTCTTGTGCCACCACGCCCCGCCTGGAAGGGACTCTTCAGAAAGCATCTCCATTTCTTTGGATGTAGACTCTCTAATATTTCTGAGTAGGTTCATTCAATGAAACAGAAAAAAGAATAAGCCTCTTGGCTGTTTGGTTGGCTCACCTCTGCTCACCATGGCCCACGCTTCTTTCAGTGCCTAATTCAGAGGCACTGTCTAGTCGAGGACAAGGGCACATGTCTGCTTTTCTTGCGATGCTTTCTGGGGACCTCCCTGTTGTAGGAAGCACTCCCACGCTTCTGATTATCTTCTGCTCCTCCCAATCCATGTAGCATTTGAAGAGGATGCTTGCAGGCACTTCCACATAGCTTTGCAGAACCTGGGAGAAGACATAACCATTACTGTAGAAGGAATGTTCAGAAATCTGTGCAGAGGCATGAGGGGAAAGGGCTACTATTGAGAGGGTCCTGCAGGTACTGATTTCAGAAGTACTGCAGCCTGGAAGGAATGAGTGGGCAAATTTTGTAGCAAGGATTGTTTTTTTTTAGTCTCTATGTGATAGAATCACTAAATCATGTTAGCTGATGAACAGATAGTAAATAATAGATTATTACATTAGCCCTTCACATATACATGCACATATATTCCTACAAATCTTTAACCCACAGACGGATATTAGTGTCATAGATTGTCTTCATTTGAACGAAATTGCGAATCATGGTAAGGTAAACATTGAAGCAGTTGTTTGCTAAATGTTATGTACTGTTTGGAAGAGCAGGATTCCTAATCACTTGCCTGCCTACCTGCCTGCCTGGCTGGCTGGCTTCATTTTCTACAGAATATTGGTGCTTCTATGAAATAATGCTCCACCTAAAGGATTTTTTTGTACTAGGAATCGAATTCAGGACCTCATGCTTGCCAGGCACCACAGGTGGTGTACTGCTGAGATGGATCCAGAGCACCATATTTGATGACCTGAATTGTATTATTTACCTCCAACAGAACTTAAAAATAAAAGTATAAAATAATTGAGAATGGTGCCGCGCCATTCTTTTGGCTTACTTTGTGGCTTGACCTTAACTGAACAGTTGGAAGATACTAAAGACATTCCCGAATGTGTGCCATGTCTCACTTAAGTTATTTTACTATTTGTGCACTGGGTTTGCTCGAGGGATAGTAGTAAAAGTAATGGGCAGATAAAGAACTATGAAAAGGATCAAAGTTTAAGGCATTGAATCAAAGGAAGAGCAGCATGGAAATGAAAACTCCAAATAAAGGAGCCTGGGCTAACTTTGCAGCATCCTTTTTTTTTTTTTTTTTTTTTACAGCAAATATTACAGGTTTTCAGCATCCTTTAGACCAACAAGGTACCCAGTGATTATACACTAAAGTCAAATTTGATGAAATGAAGCTTTTCTCCTAACGTTCAAATGCTAATAGGTGTGAAGCAAAGGGATTTCATCAGTTATGTTTGCCTAGAGAGCAACCCACTGGTGCCTACCAGGGTCAGTGGCAACAGAGATTTAAACAAGCATAGAGAAGTAAAACCTAGAACTCTGAGGATGAGAGCAGCGAGAACTCCAGCATCTCTTCAGCACTGTGTGCGATCTGGAGTCTTGCCATCTCTGCCACTCCCTACCCATCTCCCACAGGACCTGTGGTCCAACACTGTTGCCCTCACTCACTATGAGATGGACCCTATTTGGACTAGATACACTGGAAATCATTTCTATTTTTGGAGGTACATCATCTTCCATATTACCTCAAAATCTGTATAATTCATTTCATCGCAATGTTATACAAGTTTTATATGTTTCCCTATGTTTTATGTAAGTATTAATGGTAAAAAAATTTTTGATATATTCTATTATATCCACAAAAGGAACATTAAAGTTGTTTATGGGATATTCAAGTTGAATAGGTAGAAGCCTTGCTCAGATGGGAATCTAGGCCTAAACAATGCAGTGTGTAACTACCTATTTCTAAATCCAAGAAAAGCTCCTACCACTCTGTCAATGTTACAGACTTTTGTTGGAATTGGCTTTAAACAAAACCAATTTTAGGAAGTATAAGAAGTAAAGCCATGTTGTTATATGTTGAGCTGTAGGGGACTCAGGTCAATAATTTCTGACAATGCTAGTCAAGCAGAAGACCCAATACTATTATGCATTACCTAACTCTTTTAGAATATTTTGCTGAGTTAACACGCCTGTAATATTCAAGTGACAGAACTAAACAAAAAAGGGGATATGTAAATGAATGTCCATTTTGTATCTGTGTATTCAAAGTGGTTAGGATAGATATATAGTTACATTCTCTTAATGAATAGAGGGATTTGTTCTAATATAGGATATCATGTCTGCGTCTTGTACAACAAATAACCACTAGAAAGACATTATGCAATGTGTTAATTATTGAAACTGTCCTACCAATTTGATTTGAAACTTTCTCATTGCTATTTGTCTCTCAATAAAATTATGGAAAAAAATAAAAATAAATGTACATCAGAAGAAAAAAAGAAAAAAGACAATTCTAGAAAAACAGAGGGCACAACACCAGTCCTCTGTGAAGAGCCTGTGTGAAATGTGGCAATGAAGTGGTGTGAAGAGGCATGACTGCCCTGCCATCGAATGAGTGAGGTGCTTCAGTGCAGATGGTGTCGCCTCCAAGGAGTCAGCCAGCAATTAGCTAGCAGTCACCGTGAAAATGCACGGATACCTAGCGAATCTCATGGCACTGAAATGCCCTAGCATCTGACTTTTTCTTTTGAATAGAGAGCTCCTAAAGGTGAGCTTCGATAGAGTCTATGATTCCTAGGATTTTGAATGAAAGTGAAACATTGCTCTGTGTCGAAGATACCAGATTTCAAATATCCAAGGATGCACCACATCCATAGGATTCACTAATTCAATTTCCAGTCTCATATCATAGCCTCAAAGCTTAGCACGGGAGTCTTGTTGAATGACAGCAGGCTTTGAGAAGAGTATTCTGGGAGAGCCCATCCGGGGGTTCACTGAGCACCACTCAAGGTGAGGTCTGATTTCAGAGTGTCTGGCAAGGAGCCCGCGGCCCCGAGGTGACCTCTCAGAGCTGCTTGAGAGCTCACATTACTTATTCCAAGATGCAATCTAGCGGTCGTCCAAGAGCCAGGGAAGCCTTCTTCCCTACTATTTTGACACTTGAGACAACCATTTCTCTCTTTTATGTCACATTTGGAGACATAATTTGGCTCATGATACGTCTGGATCTCTGCAATACAGAGAGACTTGTCATAATGCAACGAACCTATCTGAGGCTTCCGGGCTGTCGTGGCCAGCTTTCGGGCTTGTTTGTTTGTGCTCTCTCAGGTCAGTAAGCAAAATGGGTTTAAACTCCGATAACAGAAATATCTTTTAGTGTAAGGAATTGCAGCCATGTGATATTTTAAATACTTTTATTAAGGATAGACTAATAAAAATAGCTGTCCTATTCACTTTTTAGAAGTTGGGGTCACAAAGTAATAGCTTTACAACCTCCTGGGATCTGCCCCGACTTTTAATGATGCATCAGGAGGAACTTGAAGCAGGGAAGAAATGTGCTTTGGGAGAATTGGGGCCAAAACACAGCAAGCATTAGGCAGCTGCAGGAAGAGACTAGAACATAGTGGCCAGACGCTGTCCCCAAATTCCTCCCAGGAGTCCAAGTGTCATAATTCCATACAACAGTATACATCCCTGGGATAATATGCACCATACATCAAATTGAAGACTCTTTTGTGACAGCATTTAACAACTCACAACAGGTTCAAAAAACACAGAGCCTTTGAAAAACTCTATTTCTCCCATATAACAAACTATTTTTTTTAATTTTTTTTATTTATTTATTTATTTATTTATTTGTGTGTGTGTGTGTGTGTGTGCACGCACGTGCTCATGTGTGGCCAGCTCAGCCCACCAGGGGGCGGGGCTGGCTGGCATGTGGTGCTGGGGGATCGAACCGCGGTCCCTGTGCTTTGCTTAGCTTGGCTTGTTCTAAGTAGGTGCTTTAGACCACTGAGCCATCTCACCAGCCCTATAACAAACTATTGTGATAGTCAACCTGATAGCAAACTACTGGGCCAGGCAAGCTAACATTCCATGTGTCTTGCCCTGTTACTGCATTTTTAAAATATGAACTAGGAAGCATGATGGAAAAAAATACCTTTCTAGCTTAAAGTACATAAAGCT